TTGGTATGGCATTCAACACCCTGCAAGATCCATACTCATTTCCAGTTGCTTGCCAACTCATATCTTACACGCTAGGAAAACATCAACTCATATTTTCCACTCTAGGAATACTAAACTGCTTGTGGTTTCTCCCCTACAGACATATTCCTAGTGTTTTATGCATTCTTCGTTATGCTCCTTCTGCTCCTGGAAAGCCCTTCCTCCAAGTATTTGCCTAACTCGGACATGTTCTTTAAGATTCAGCTCAGACATCATCTGCCCTAGGAAGCCTTCCTTGATCCCCACCCCACACTTCCAGCAGTGCTACGTGCTCCTGTGCTATAGGACCCAGTGCATGCTGACTGCATTGCTCAAAGCATTCTAGCTAACCTGCGTCTATTTATTTGTCCATCTATCCCACTAGACTGTACATCCCGTCAGGACAGTATCTGTGCTTTAGGTTTTTTTGTATCCTCCACTAATGCCTAGCACAATGCCTGGCAGACAATTTCTTATTATGGGAGATCTTCAGGAAAATCCCAAAACAGGGCTAGTCTTCAGACTGCTGGTACCCCATTTCTTCTCATGGGCATACCAAACAAACCCACTGCCATTGAGTCCATTTTGACTCATAGCAACCCTACAAGAGAGAGTAGAACTGCCCCATAGGGTTTCCAAGGCTGTAAATCTTTACGGGAACAGACTGCCACATCTTTCTCCCACACAGCAGCTGGTGGGTTTGAACTGCCAACCTTTTGGTTAGCAGCCAAGTGCTTTAACCACTGCACCACCACCTTTTTCATGGGTATAAATGAGACTAACTCATTAGAGACTAACTATCATCTACCACCACTCTTTAAAAAGGTATGCAAAGGTCCCTGTGTTTCTGCCAGAAAAGGCAGCCTGCATGTTTGCACTAAGAGAATCAGAAATATCTACAAATTCCTGCTTAGAGCCTCTCTTTCACAATTCTGCTTGCTTGCTCTTTTTTCAAAGGTTAGATTTAAATATCTTCATAGGATCTATGATATAATGGAAAAACTTGTGCTCTTTTCCAAAATAAGGCAGAAGAAGATCACATTTGGATGCTACCATGGGCCCACAATTTCTGCCCCAAGGGAAGTAACAACAGTTTTGAACAGGAACTGTCCCTGAGTACACAGGATCGGGGAAGGCAGTGACTTCAAACTCCCTGTCCTCTATCTCCAACCGGTAGGTGGGTGATGCCAGTTCTGGGGCTTGGTACCATTCGCCATAAGATGCTAGGGGCAGTGTGGTTAATAGCTGGATATTGTATGGCACTGCTTGTGATAAGAAATTAAGTACATGTGAAACGCATGGTCAGTCTGTATATATTCTGGAATCCTAAAAATTTACCTGGCTGTGATTAAAAGAATCAAACATGTTCTAGGCCCAAGATGGCAGGCATCCCTGATTTTGCTAGGCCTTAAGGACATTGTTATATAAATTTTCATTGAATAAATAGATGTTTATTGGACAGGACTGTATATATTTGTATTGAGCAAAGAGTACAACAGGTGACTTGCTTAAAAGCCTAGGAATAACCCTGGGAAACATTATACTTCTCTGTAAATATGTTTGTGATGTTAAGAAGGTTGCTTTCATAAGGACTTAGCAGAATCCACACCTGGAAATACCAGCTCTGAACGTGGGAACAAATCCATTAAACCACTTACATCCTATTATTACCATTTTGCAATAACCCCTTTGGGCTCCAAAGTTCACTAAATAAAATTCACTGGTAAAATAAAATTCCCTTAACTATAAGAAAGTCAGAAATCATTGTAAACATTGACTAAAATTCTGAGATATTATTCCTTTCCTATCCAGCAGAAATACAGACGCTCTTAAAGCTGCTTCTCATTCATTTACCAAAACAAATTTAAGATTACACTGCCAAAATATTTGACCCTTGTTGTCAATACACCAGGAGGACATAACCATAATAAGTACTTATGCACCCAATGACAGGGCTCCAAAATACATAAAACATCATCCTAAATGGAGAGAGTCTGAAAGCATTCCCCTTGAGAACAGAAACCAGACAAGGATGCCCTTTATCACCCCTCTTATCCAACATTGCGCTGGAGGTCCTAGCCAGAGCAATAAGGCAAGAAAGAAAGAAAGAGCGTCCAATTGGTAAGGAAGAAGTAACAGTATCCCTATTTGCAGATGATATGATCTTATACACAGAAAACCCCAAAGAATCCACAAGAAAACTACTGGAACTAACAGAAGATTTCAGCAAAGTATCAGGATACAAGATAAACATACAAAAATCGGTTGGATTCCTCTACACCTACAAAGAGAACTTCTAAGAGGAAATCACCAAGTCAATACCATTTACAAAAGCCCCCAAGAAGATAAAATACTTAGTAATAAATCTAACCAGAGACGTAAAACACTTATACAAAGAAAACTACAAAACACTACTGCAAAAAAAAACCAAAAGAGACCTACATAAGTGGAAAAACATACCATGCTGATGGATAAGAAGACTCAACATTATGAAAATGTCAATTCTACCCAAAGCGATCTACAGATACAATGCAATCTCAGCTCAAATTCCAACATCATTTTTTAACGAGATGGAAGAAAAAATCACCAACTTCATATGGAAAGAAAAGAGGCCCCGGATAAGTAAAGCATTCCTGAAGAAGAACAAAGTGGGAGGCCTCATCCTATCTGATTTGAGAACTTATTATACCACCACTGTAGTCACAACAGCCTGGCACTGGTACAACAACAAAGACCAATGGAACTGAATTGAGAGTCCAGATGTAAATACAGCAACCTATGAGCAGCTTATATTTGACAAAGGCCCAAAGTCTGTTAAATGGGGAAAAGATAGTCTCTTTTAACAAACAAGACTGGCATAACTGGATATCCATCTGTAAAAAAATGAAACAAGACCCATATCTCACACCATGTACAAAAACTAACTCAAAATGGATCAAAGACCTAAATATAAAATAAAAAATGATAAAAATCATAGAACAAAAAATAGGGACAATGCTAGGAGCCCTAATACACGGCATAAACAGAATACAAACCATAACTAACAATGCGCAAAAAACACCACAAGAGAAAATAGATAACTGCGGGCTCCTAAAAATCAAACACTTACGCTCATCAAAAGACTTCTTCAAAAGAGTAAAAAGAAAACCTACAGACTGGGAAAAAATTTTTGGCTACAACATAACCGGTAAGGGTCTAATCTCTAAAATCTATAAGATACTTCAACACCTCAACAACAACAAAGACAAATAACCCAATTAAAAAATGGGCAAAGGATATGAACAGACACTTCACCAAAGAAGACATTCAGGTGGCTAACAGATATATGAGGAAATGCTCACGATCATTAGCCATTAGAGAAATGCAAATCCAAACTGCAATGAGATACCATCTCACTCCAGCAAGGCTGGCACTAATCCAAAAAACACAAAATAATAAATGCTGGAGAGGTTGTGGAGAGATTGGAACAATAATGCACTGCTGGTGGGAATGTAAAATGGTACAACCACTTTGGAAATCGATTTGGTGCTTCCTTAAAAAGCTAGAAATAGAAGTACCATACAATCCAGCAATCCAACTCCTTGGAATATATCCTAGAGAAATAAGAGCTGTCACATGAATAGATATATGCACACCCATGTTCATTGCAGCACTATTCACAATAGTAAAAAGATGGAAACAATCTAGATGCCCATCAATAGACAAATGGATAAACAAAACATGGTACATACACACAATGGAATACTACGCAATAATAAAGAACAATGATGAATCCAGGAAGCATGTGACAACGTGGATGAATCTGGAGGGCATTATACTGAATGAAATTAGGCAGTCGCAAAAGGACAAATATTGTACAAGACCACTATTATAAAAACTCAAGAAAAGGTTTAAACACAGACAAAAACATTCTTTGATGGTTACGAGGGTGGGGAGGGAGGGAGACGGGAATTCACCAGATAGTAGACAAGAATCATCTTAGGTGAAGGGAAGGACAACACACAATACAGGGGAAGTCAGCACAACTGGACTAAACCAAAAGCTTAGAACTTTCCTGAACACAAGCAAACACTTCGAGGGACAGAGTAGCAGGGGCTGGGGTCTGGGGACCATGCTTTCAGGGGACATCTAGGTCATTTGGCATAACAATGTTTATTAAGAAAATGTTCTGCATCCCACTTTGGTGAGTGGCGTCTGGGGTCTTAAAAGCTTGCGAGCGGCCACCTAAGATGCATCAATTGGTCCCAACCCACTTGGAGCAAAGGAGAATGAAGAACACCAAAGACACAAGGAAAATACCAGCTCAAGAGACAAAAGGGGCACATAAACCAGAGACTCCATCAGCCTGAGACCAAAAGAACTAGATGGTGCCCGGCTACCACCAATGATCGCTCTGACAGGGAACACAACAGAGAGTCCCTGACGGAGCTGGGGAAAAGTGTTAAGTAGAACTCAAATTCATGTAAGAAGACCAGACTTAATGGTCTGAGACTGGAGGAAACCCCAGAGCCATGGCTCCCAGGAGCTCTGTTAACCCAAAACTAAAACCATTCCCAAAGCCCACTCTGCAGACAAAGATTAGACTGGACTATAAAACATAAAATAATACTCATGAAGAATGTGCTTCTTAGTTCAAGTGGATACATGAGACTAAATGGGCAGCTTCTGTCCAGAGGCAGGATGAGAAGGCAGGAAGGGACAGGAGCTGGTTGGATGGACACAGGGAACCCGGGATGCAAAGGGGGAGCATGCTGTCACATTATATGGATTGCAACTAGTGTCACGTAACAATATGTGCATAAATTTTTGTATGAGAAATTAACTTGAGCTGTAAACTTTCACCTAAAGCACAATAAATATATGTATTTGACTCTTGTGCCCACCAAACTGGAGCCCTAATTTAAGACTATTTTTATTAAAATGTATTTAATGTTAAAATTATACAAAAAGATCTTGATTACATTTTCAAAAGCCCGTCTTACCTTATATGTATTCCAGAATTTCTCTTTCAGGTCCAAAAATATATCATCCTTTCCTTGGAGAATACTCATGCCTATTTAGGGAAACATAAGAGCAAAAGAGTATTAAGAGGTTCAGTAGGAAGATTCCTGTCTAACAGTTCAAGTTTCCTATTTCAATGTGTAAAGTTACCACCACTAACACTCACTATCTCCCTTCTGACTCAACAGTGAAAAGAGAAAATAATCTACATTCTAAAACTACCTAAAGTTTAAAGGAATGATAAATAGGAAGTTAGAATAGTAGAGTATAAAAATGATAGTAGAATGATTATTTTTTAAAAACGATGAGAGACTCTATGAGACTATCACCTTAAGATACTCTTTAAACTCTGAACCAAAACTATCACGAGGTCACCTTTTAGTGAAATCAAACTGGCATACAAAATAAAGGATAGTACCCATGAGTATGCTGCTTCTCTTAGTCATCTAGCGCTACTCTAACAGGAACACCACAAGTGGATGGCTTTACAAAGAGAAGTTTATTCTCTCACAGTCAAGTAGGCTACAAGTCCAAATTCAGGGCGCAGCTCCAGGGGAATGCCTTCTCCGTCAGCTCTGGAGGAAAGTCCACGTCATCCATCTTCCCTTGTTCTGGGAGCTTCTCTGCGCAGGAACGTCAGGTCCAAAGGACACGCTCTGCTCCCGGCACTGTTCTCTTGGTGGTATGAGGTTCCCAATTCTCTGTTTGCTTCCCTTTCCTTTTACCTCTTGTAAGGTAAAAGGTGGTGCAGGCACACTCTAGGGAAACTCCCTTTACATTGGATGAGGGATGTTACCTGGGTAAGGGTGGTGTTACAATCCCACCCTAATTCTCTTTAACATAAAATTACAATCACAAAATGGAGGCCTACCACACAATTCTGGGAATCATGGCCCAGCCAAATTGATACACACATTTTTTGGGGGACATAATTCAAACCATGACAATGCTCCATTGAAAAACCATCTATAATGAAACCAAAAGGCCAACAATTACTCTAAAGCAGAGATGAGAAGATAAGGAGGCAGAGAAACTAGAGCACTGGAAACGGAACACCCAGGACACATGTTGACACACTGTGAAAAACTTAACTAATGTCACTGAACAATCTGTACAGAAATTGTCAAATGGCAACCTAATTTGCTGTGTAAACTGTCACTGAAAACACAATATTATTTAAAAAAAAACTATAAGAGAATTCGCAAAACAACAGTGTTAGGATAGTGTGACTGTTGGCAATTTTTCTCTTCTCTATATTCTAAATTCTGCAAATCTGTTAAAATAAAAAATGTTAATTTCATTCTTTTTAGAAAAGGTTGATGGACCCTGGGTATTTCTGGCAACTACAAATTTTCCATCAGTACTATTCTAGTTGGAAGAACCCTGGTGGTGCAATGAAGTATTTGGCTGCTAACCAAAAGGTTAGCAGTTCCAATCCACCAGCCACGCTGCTTGAGAAAGATGTGGCAGTCTGCTTCCATAAGAATACAGCCTTGGAAATCCTATAAGGCAGTTCTACTCTGTCCTGTAGGGTCACTATGAGTTGGAATTGACTCGATGGCAACAGGTAACTACTCTAGTCAGAGTCTGAAAGTAGAACACCAATTCAGCCCTTCTAAGAACACTCTGAAAACTCTGGTTTTCAGCCTCTCTGAAAAGAAATTCAGGGAGCAAGAACAAAACCATCCTATTTTAGGAAGGGTGTAAAAATGGGTGCGCTTTACAAATTCTTCCCTAACCCCATTAGGTTGTTGTTGTGAGGTGCTGTCAAACTCCTAGCAACCCTGTGTACAACAGAACGAAACTCTGTCCAGTCCTGTGCCATCCTCACAATCATTGCTATGTCTGAGCCTAATGTTGTAGCCACTGTGTCAATCCATCTTGTTGAGGGTCTTCCTCTTTTTTGCTGACCCTCTACTTTACCAAAGCACAATGTCCTTCTCCAGGGACTGGTCCCTCCTGATAACATGTCCAAAGTGAGACAAAGTCTTGCCATCCTTGCTTCTAAGGAGTATTCCAGCTGTACATCCTCCAAGACAGATTTGTTCATTCTTCTGGCAGTCCACGATATATTCTTCGCCAACACCATAACTTAAAGGCATCAATTCTTCTTCGGTCTTCCTTATTCATTGTCCAGCTTTCGCATGCATATGAGGCAATTAAAAATACCATAGTGTGAGTCAGGTGCACCTTAGTCCTCAAAGTGACATCCCCCGTTAGGAGGAAGGAGAAATAACAGCTTTTTTAGTCAATTTCAGGGGATTCATAGGACCAGACTCATAAGAAAAATCCAGTCAAATAATGATAGTGCTGTATTATGTTCCACTTTCCCAGCGTTCATTAAGTGCTAAGCACTTTATATGACTTACTTCATTTGACTCTTCTAATCCTCTGTGGTAGGTAGAGTCACAGAGGAGGAAAAGAGCTTTAGGAGGTTAATAGCAGACAGAGTCCAACCCAGGTGTCTGATTCCCAAGCCAGACCTCTTAATCACAATCACTTCATTGGCTGCCAAGGTGGCCTGGCACAAAGGATCATCTGATTCATGTAATTTCTAAGTAGGCAGTGCCTTGAAGAAGCAGCCCTGGTGGCACAGTAGTTAAGCACTCACCTGATAACCAAAAGGTCAGCAGTTCGAACTCACCAGCCGCTCTAAGGAAGAAAGATGCGGCAGTCTGCTTCTGTAAAGATTACAGCCTTGGAAACCCTATGGGGCAATTCTACTTTACCCTATAGGGTTGCTATGAATCCTAATTGACTCCAGGCACAGGCTCTGGGTTTTAGTGCCTTGACAAGGAGTTCCTGGGTTGTACAAACAGTTAAGCATTCAGCTGCTAACCAAAAAATTGGAGGTTTAAATCCACCCAGTGGCACCTCAGAAGACAGGTCTGAAAATCTACTTCCAAAAAATCAGCCACTGAAAACCCCGTGGAGCACGGGTCCGAGGTCCCCTCACACTTTTTGTGGGCTTTAACATGGGGAAGATTTGGTTACCAAAGCAAGCCTATGGCCCCCTTCCCCTTACCACCAGTCCCAGGCCTCTAGAACCCATCCCTGGCGCACTCGCCTGATCCAGCCCTGGCCCTGTCCTCCCAGTCCCTGTATTGCCAACCCCTCCGGAACCCCGATAGCAGGTCCTTCAGCACCGTGTCCTGTCCCCAGCACCCCTGTCCCCGCCTTCAGTGCCGGCCTGCGCCCAACTCTGGCTCCCCAACGCCGGCCCTCTAACCCGAACCCTCAGTCCCCTGCACACAGTCTCCTGTCCCCGGTTCCCCAGTCCCGGGCTTCCAGCTCCCTCACCTGACCCCACCCGGTCCAGGCCCCCTACGTCGCTCACCTGCGTAGAAGGCGGAGATGGCAACTGGAGCGCCGAGCACCTGGTCGTACAGCACCTTGGCCAGGATGGCGCGCGGCGCGCGGCCCGGCAGCGCTCGCTCCAGCAGGCCTAGCCACACGTAATTGAAGTTGGCGTGAAAGGCCACGGCCACGGTGGCCACGCGCTGCGTCTGGCGCCAGTCGGCCGGGCCGCCTCTTAGCCGCTGCTGCAGCGCGTCGCCGGCAGAGTAAAGTGCAGCGTAGAGCAGCACGTTTGTGGGCCACGGGTAGCGCCGGGCCGCCCGAGACAGCACCTGCCACCAGCCCGCCATGCCCGCTCGCCGTGGGCGCGGGCGAGCCAGGCAGCAAGCGCCGCGGAGCCCGGCCTGCCGGACCACGCCCACCGGCCGCCCCTTGCCCTCCGCAGCTCCTCCTCCACGGCCGCCGGGCCCAATTCCACCTGCCTTCTCCCTAAGACCGAGAGCGATTGGGCTCCCAGGCCACACAGTCCAATCCGGTGGCACATGGTCATCATGGCGGTTGAGCTCTTGAAATGTGGCTAGGCCATCTAATGCATGACTCCATTTATAAGAAATGTCCAGAATAAGCAAATCCACACGGACAAAGAGTAGATTAGGGGTTGCCAGGAGTTGGAGGGGAGGGTAGAATGGGGAGTGACTGCTAATGGGTGCAGGTTCCTTTTTGGGGTGAGGAAAATGTTCTGCAATTAGGTAGTGATGATGGTTGCACAACCTTGTGAATATACTAAAAGCCACTGAATTGTACAATTTAAAATGGTGAATTTTATGAAATGTGATTTTTTTTTAAAGGGGGGAAGAAAAGGATACCAAAACTAATTTACCGAAATGGTAGTGTATTTTAAACGTTTACATGGAAGAAATTCACACTTTCAATGCACACACAGTACAATGAAGTGTGTAACTTCGTTTGAAGACAACGTCAAAAGTTAAAGTTTGAGATCTTTCATGAATGTGAGGGGGGCCCAATATATCTCCTGCCTTCTACCCTCTAGAGGTTGGGCCTCAATAAATATTGTCTCCCAGGCACTGTGCCAGAAGGGGGGGGGGGGTGTCAATGGGAACCCAAACACCGGAAACTTAGTTCTATTTGTTTTTCCCTGCCTTCTTTTTTTCTTCCTTTACAGTCACATCCAACCCCTTTCTCTGTCTCTCTCTTTCTTCCCTATTTAAAATTTTTTCATTTTTAACTTTTCATTTTGAAATAATTTCAGATTTACAAAGAAGTTGCAAAAACAGTACGAAAAGTTCCCAAATACCCTTCACTCAAGCTTCCCCAAATATTGACATCTTACATAATCATAGTATAATTACCAAAACCAGGAAATAAGCATTGATGCAATACTATTACGTAATCCACAGTTCAAATTATTGCCAGTTGTCCCACTAAAGTCCTTTTTCTGGTCTGGCATCCAATCCTGGATCATGAGGATTGCATTGAGTTGTATCTCCTTAGTCTCCTCCAATCTGGGACACTAGTCAGTTATTCTGTAGACTCCCTGAATTTGCCAACCTCATTCTCTTTAATTTTGGAGAATCTGTTTCTCTGCTCTCTGACTCTGTCTGCCCCAGTTGCTGTTTTCTATTCCTCTGCTCTCCTTATTCTTACTACCAGTCCCAAGTAAATCTGTCAGATTTCTTCCTGCTAGGCAGGCTCCTAGCTCACCAAAACATTTCTTTATTTGCTTATTAATTACATTCCTCTTGTATTAGTTTCCTATTGCTGCTGTAACAAATTACCACAAACTTCATGGCTTAAAACAACACAAATTTATTCTTCTACAGTTCTAGAAGTCAGAAGTCTAACACGGGCCCATAGGACTGAGTTCTTTTTTTTTTTTTAATTGTAATTTAGATGAAGGCTTACAGAGCAAATTAGTTTCTCATTAAACAATTAATACACTTATTGTTCTGTGACATTGGTTGCCAAGCCCATGACATGTCAACATTCTCCCCTTCTCAATCTTGGGTGCCCCATTACCAGCTTTCCTGTCCCCTCCTGCCTTCTCATACTTACCCTGAGCTGGTGTGCCCATTTAAAATCATTTTGCTTCGTGGGCCTGTCTAATCTTTGGCTGAAGGGTGACCCTCAGTAGTGACTTCAGTACTGAGTTAAAAGGGTGTCCCGGGGCCGTACTCTCAGGGTTTTTCCAGTCTGTCAGGCCAGTAAGCCTGGTCTTTTTTTGTGACTTATAATTTTGTTCTACATTTTTCTCAAGCTCTGTCCAGGACCCTCTTCTGTGATCCCTGTCAGAGCAGTCAGTGGTGGTAGCCAGGCACCATGTAGTTTCTGGTGGAGTCTGGGGTAGTTGTGGTCCATTAGTCGTTTGGCCTAATCTTTCCCTTGTGTCTTTGGTTTTCTTCTTTCTTCCTTGCTGGGTGGGACCAGTGTAGTGTCTTAGATGGCCGCTCACAAGCCTTTAATACCCCAGATGCTACTCACCAAAGTAGGATGTAGAACATTTTCTTTATAAACTATGTTATGCCAACTGAGCTAGATGTCCCCCCAAGACCAGGGTCCCCAGAGCCTTTGGCCCAGTAATTTGGTCCCTCAGGGAGTTTGGATGTGTCTGTGAAGCCTCCATGCCCTTGCCTTGGTCAAGTTGTGCTGATTTCCCCAGGATTGTGTACTGTCTTACCCTTCACCAAAGTTAAAACTTATCTATTGTCTAGTTAGTGTTTTTCTGTCCTTACCCCTCCCCTCCCTAGTAAGCATCAAAGATTGTTTCTTTCTGTGTGTAAACTTTTTCATGAATTTTTATAATATTAATCTCATACAGTATTTGTCCTTTTGTGATTGACTTATTTCACTCAACACAACGCCCTCCAGATTCATCCATGTTGTCAGATGCTTCTCAGATTCATCGTTGTTCTTTATTGTTGCACAGTATTCCATTATGTGTATGTACCATAGTTTGTTCATTCATTCATCTGTTGATGGGCACCTGGGTTGTTTCCATCTTTTTGCTATTGTGAACAATGCTGCAATGAACATGGGTGTGCATATGTGTACTTATGTGATGGCTTGTATTTCTCTAGGATATATCCCTAGGAGTGGGATTGCTGGATCATATGGTATTTCTATTTCTAGCTTTTTAAAGAAGTGCCATATCATTTTCTAAAATGGCTCTACCGTTTTGCACTCCCACCAGCAGTGCCTAAGAGTTCAAAGCTCCCCGCAGCCTCTCCAATATTTGTCATTTTCTGTTTTTTTGATTCATGCCAACAATGTCTGGGTGAGATGGTATCTCATTGTAGTTTTTATTTGCATTTCTCTAATGGCTAGTGATCTCGAGCATTTCCTCATGTGTCTGTTAGCTGGCTGAATGACTTCTTTGGTGAAGTGTCTGTTTTTATCCTTCACCCGTTTTTTAATTGGATTATTTGTCTTTTTGTTGTAGAGGTGTTGGATTTTCCTATAGATTTTAGAGATTAGACCTTTGTCGGATTTGTCATAGCCAAAACTTTTTTCCCAGTCTGTACGTTCTCTTTTTACTCTTTTAGTGAAGTATTTTGATGAGTGTAAGTGTTTAATTTTTAGAAGATCCCAGTTATCTAGCTTATCTTCTGGTGTTTGTGTATTGTAAGTTATGGTTTGTATCCTATTTATGCCGTGTATTAGAGCCTCTAACGTTGACTGTATTTTTAATTCTATGATCTTTATAGCTTTTGGTTTTAAATTTAGGTCTTTGATCCATTTTTGAATTAGTTTTTGTCTATAGTGTGTGGTATGGTCTTGTTTCTTTTTTTCACAGATGGACATCCAGTTTTACCAGCACCATTTGTTAAAAAGACTGTCTTCTCCCCATTTAATGGACTTCAGGCCTTTGTTGAAGATCAAGTAACCGTAGGGATATGTATTTACATTTGGGTTCTTGATTCTGTTCCATTGGTCAATGTGTCTGTCGTTGTACTAATACCAGGCTGTTTTGACTACCATAGCTGTACAGTAAGTTCTGAGATCAGGTAGTGCAAGTCCTCCTACTTTATTCTTTTTCTTCAATACTGCTTTACTTATCCAGGGCCTCTTTCCTTTCCGTATAAAGTTAATAATTACTTTTTCCATCTTGTTAAAGAATGCTGTTGGTGTTTGGATCGGGATTGCATTGTATTTGTAGATTGCTTTGGAAAGAATGGACATTTTCACAATGTTGAGTCTACCTATCCATGAGCATGGTATGCTTTTCTATTTATGTAGGTCTCATTTGGTTTCTTGCAGTAGTGTTTTGTAGTTTTCTTTATATAGGTCTTTTACATCCCTGGTTAGATTTTATTTTTTTAGGGGCTATTATAAATGGTATTGCTTTCCTGATTTCCTTTTCGTTGTTCTCTCTATTGATGCACAGGAATCCAATGGATCTTTGTATGTTTATCTTGTATCCTGCTACTCTGCTAAATCTTTCTCTTCATTCCAGTCGTTTTCTTGTGGAGTCCTTTGGGTTCTCTATGTATAGTATCATATTATCCACAAAGAGGGATAGTTTTACTTCTTCCTTACCAATTTGGGTGCCCTTTATTTCTTCTTCTTGCCTTATTGCTCTAGCTACGACTTCAGCACAATGTTAAATAGGAGTGGTGATAAAGGGCATCCTTGTCTTGTTCCTGTTCTCAGGGGAAATGTTTTCAGCCTCTCTCAGTTAAGAATGATGTTGCCTGTTGATTTTGTGTAGATGCCCTTCGTTATGTTGAGGAATTTCTCTTCTATGCCTATTTTATTGAGAGTTTTTATCAGGAATGGGTGTTGGATTTTATCTAATGCCTTTTTTGTGTCAGTTGAGATAATCATGTGATTTCTTTTCTTTTATTTATATGGTGGATTACATTGATTGATTTCCTAATGTTGAACCATCCTTGCATACCTGGTATGAATCCCAGTTGTTCGTGGTGTTTTTTTTTTTTTTTAATGGTTTCAAACAACAAACTTTTGGTTTTGTTAATTCTTTCTATTGTTTTTCTATTCTCTATTTCATTTATTTCTGCTCTGATCTTTATAATTTCCTTTCTTCTGGTGGCTGTGGGCTTCTTTTGCTGTTCTCTACTTGTTCGAGTTGTATAGCTAATGTTTTGACTTTTTCCTTTTCTTCTTTTTTGATGTGTGCATCTATTACTGTAAAGTAACCTCTGAGCACTGCCTGAGCTGTGTCCCAGAGATTTTGGTATGATGTGTTTTCGTTCTCATTTGATTCTAGGAATTTTTTTATTCCATCTTTGATTTCTTCTATTACCCAGTGGTTTTTAAGCAAGGTGTTATTCAGTTTACATATATTTGATTTTTTTGTCCTTGCTCTTCTTGT